GCCCCAGACTCCGCCACTAGGACCAACCGCGTCCCTTTGGGCCCTTTCCTGCTTTGACCGGGCCAGTTCGCTGTTCGCTGCCCCGCTGCTGCCCTGGCTCTTGGCCTGCTCCATCCTTCTCTGGCCCCGCCGGGTCCTGCCTCCAACTGGCCTCGCCCGCCCAGCCTTCCTCCACTCGGGCCCCGCCTCTCCCGGGTTTCGGGGTCTGAGCTCCGTGGCCCCGCCCCCTGGTCGGTCCGGGCCTCTGAACCTAGTCCCTCTTTTGCCAACACAGGACCTGCACAAGGTCTGCTTATCCGGCCCCTCCCTGTCCCACCACAAGCAACTCAGACCCGGGTCCGAGGCTTGCGAATTCCGCTCGGAAGGCTCCTGCGCTCCAGCCCGCGCCTGCTCGCTCTGAGCCGCTCCAGTGTAGACTCGCCCAGGGGCTCTGAGCGAAGTTCGTGAGCCAGGGCTGGTGGGTACGGCTTCCCGGAGCTCAGTCCCTGTCTGCAGGTGCTGCTACGATCCAGCCAGCCCCTGACCGGCCCCAGAAGCGGCGCTGCGCTGAGGAGGAGCTGCTGCGAGCTGTGCTGGCTGGGGCTCGACCTGGGGCCCAGGGCATCATCGTGGATACTTGCTCGGCCTAGACCGCCAAACAGGCCCGCAGGACTGGCGGCGGCACTAAATCCAAGGCCACCTACCCTGGCTGGAAACGGCTGCACTGGCCCCTGGAGAGGTAAGGGGCTTCCTAGGCTCTCCTGCAAGCCTCTTCCTGGTTGAAAAGGGAAAGAGGTATCTTACAGAAACCTTGAGGATGTTAAGCCTTTCCTGGTAGCCATGCCGCCAGATAGGCATCCCCACTTGCACCCTCCCACTGAGAGTTCATGACACCCTGGAGGTCCCATCTCCTGGAAAGAAAAAGCACTGCTTTACATTACACCGAAAATTGCCTCCAAGGAACAACCTCCCCCCCCCCTCTCTCACACACACACACACACACACACACCCTCAGTATAGGGCCCAGCCCCCTGCCCAGCTATATCTATTCCGTCTCCAGATGATGGTAGTATCAAGAGGAGGTCCTAAGTGAGTTTTTGTGCTTTGAGGAGGATGCACTGCTCTCCTACCCAGAATACAAAACTCTGTTTATTCATATATACATATTTATATATATATTTTAAATCCTCACCCGAGGATATTTTCCACTGATTTTTAGAGTGGAAGAGATAGGGAAAGACAGAGAAAAAGATCAATGTGAGAGAAATACATTGATTGGTTGCCTCCTGCATGAGCCCTGACCAGGGATCAGGCCAGGGAGGAGCCTACAACTGAGGTGCATGCCCTTGACCGCAATCGAACCCAGGACCCTGCGGTTCCCAGGCCAACGCTCTATCCACTGAGCCAAACTGGATGGGCACTGCTTAACTTCCTTACTTGTCCTTCTCTTCCTCAGGCCTATTTCTGCGCTGGACCCCCCCACCTGAGCCTTCAGAGGTAGCATGGGAGGCGTGGCAAATAGTGACAGATGAGAAGACAGAAGGCTCTCAGCCAATGGTTTCAGCCTCTAAGCCCCAGCCCTAAGTGCTGGCATCTCCTAGAGTGGCTGCAATGTTCCTGAGACCTCTCCAGGCCCACAGCACCTTCGGACCTTGGATGAAGGTGCCTGCAACCAGCCTAGCTCATAATACTGAACTTCCAGGTTTGAAGTGTCCAAAGAAAGTGTAGGGAGGTCCAAATAATTAAGGTCTCCTTGCCTGGATAGCAGCTCACTGGGGTGTCACACTGAGAAGGGAAAATTATTAAACCCCATAAAATATCTGACCAGAATCCATTTATTTCCAAACTAATTTATTATTTCTCAGAGTCCAAAACTTTCTGTGAGCCCTAAACCAGAAACTTTTCCCTGGCCAGGATGGAGACACAGCTTCTTAAGCTTCAAACTCAAATTCAAAGTACTGTTGGTCGAAGTAGTGGATGCGGACATAACCATCTTCACCACCACTGCTGTAGCTGGAAAGAGATAAACGGGACTGGTCAGATGCCTGCTCTGGGGAGGCAGGCCTGTGAGGCAGGGCTTGGGAAAGGGGCACGGAGTGGGCCTGTGGGGCAGGGACCAGGCCCGAGCTGAGCTCAGCTCCCTTCACTGGCCCTACCTCTTGCCATCAGGATGGAAGGCAACACTGTTGATAGGTCCAAAGTGACCCTTGACTCTTCCAAACTCTTCTTCAAATGCCAAATGGAAGAACCTGGAGGAAAAAAGGTGGTAAGAAGGGGCAGTTTATTCACTCTCCATCT